AGCTTAGCCAAATGCTCTCCAATCTTGTCTAGACTACCGTCAGGCCGGCAATTTCCCCGTTATCTTATTTTTTAATTTATTTAAATGAATTCTTTACACAGACAACGCTGTACACTTATGCTACGGACAATAAATTTTACATTCTCCTCCTTCTATTCTAACTATCTTCAATCTGTACAACGAGTAAGTATATGATATTATAGTTGAAATGTCAATTTTAGTTTAGTCGATTTATGTAAGTGAATGTACGTAATCAATGTCAACAATGTCAACAATGTCATTAGAAATTATTTTCAGTTCATTTCATGCAAAAATTTTCTTTTAATCGAGAACTATACATTCAGACGTACGTTGAATTGTAAAAGGATTTTTATAAGAAAAAATTTATTCACGTTTCTTTATATGAAAATCATCATAAAACTGTATAGCTGCACCGTTAACATAATATAGGAATCTGGTTATAAGAAATGTATAATGACGTATATGATTATATCAAAAGCATGCATCACAATTGTATATTGCAAAAAAAAAATATTTAGCAAAGCCAACAAAAATTTAATTTATTCCGTATAAAAAATTATTTCAAGAGTTTGAAATTTCACTAAAACAAAATAACAGAATAAAAAATTACGATACTGTAAAACAAAGAAAAATTTCATAAAAAAAAAGAAATATTAAAAAAAAATATTCTTTGTACACTTATTTAAATATAATTTTGATTAGGTATTGCAGTTTTAACTTAAAGTTTATAATGAAATTCGAACCAACCCGATTTTCTTTCAAACTACCCTAATATTTCGGAAATTCGCAAGATTTCTTCCCCTTCTTTCATTTTCTTTCTTCTCTTCCCTTTTTTACTCTTCCTACTCATTCTTCTCCACCGTCTACTGTCCTTTTTTGTCTTCTTCTTTTTTTCTCCCTCCGCTAATTGTTATTTAGACAGCAAGTTCAAGGAATATCAGGTCACTCGACTACCTATTACTACCCCCATCTATATGTTGAAAACAGTATTGAAAATAGAAAAGTAACCGTATACCCACATAAACCATTATATAATAAACTGAGTGATACATTAAATTAAGGAAGTTTCGTAATCTGAAACGCTTTCAGTCTCAATTAAAGTTAACATGTCATTTAGAACCTTTACTATATTTTTGAACAATTTTCAAAATTCGTTCCGAGAGATAATTTTGTTTGCCTTATGATTGATTTTAGTATCCTTTAGTAGACTCCTTCAATTTTCCTTGACATTTATACTCATATTTTCAGATTTTTATATAATTTTCTATAGAAGCAATGTAAGTATATCATGTTAAATCAATTTAAATTTAGAGCTCGTGTTCAGTCAAACAATATACACATACATACATGCAAAAATATTATATTGAGTACAATGATTCAAAGTTGTATTATAATATGTCTCGACTTGTCTAACTAAATAACTTCAATCCTGATTTTGATGAACATTGATGATATATTGAAATAAAATTTAAGATGACAATTTTTTTTTTTGTTCAACAATAAAATTAAATTAAAGAAAAACGACACAGCGATAACGAATAAGAGAAAAAAAAAATATGAGAAGGGAAGAGGAAAATGAAAAACTGCAATGCAAAATGCAATAAAAAATCGCAATCAAATAGAATATAGAGTAGTAAAATATTGGAGAACTTTGTGGAGGTGTAAGTGGAGGAGAACAGCGAAAATAAATAAAGGAAATTATTGTGAGTTGTGACACAAACGAACTACATTACAGATTCACAAACAAATACATTTTATAAAGTCTTTATTTTCTGTCATTCTTAATTCTTTTTGTTTTTGCAATCGTGCCGTGTTCGTGTCTCCTACAAAGTTAATAATTCTCTTATGATGATAGTTTTTTTATATTGGTTTTTGTTTCATCATCAGTTAAGTTTTACTTTTTCATCTTTCCAACATTATAAATTGTGATTTTTATTTTGCTTTTAGTTTTAAATTAGTTACATAATAAGTTTTTTTTCCCTATTTTATTTTTTCTTCAATTATTTTTAATAATATGAAATACCTAGTTATTTTCATTCTGTCCTAGTATCTAGCATTTATTTATAATTTTAAATAAAATTAATATTAAAATATAATTTTAATTTAAATTATTTTAAATGGAATTTAAATCAACTTTTTACGAGTCAATTAAGAGGTTCTTGTTTTGGAAAAGAAAGAAACTTTTGCATAAAATTATAAGGGAATAGTTGGTTAACGAAACTGAAGAATGACCTCAATGCTCTGGCTATTGCAAATATTCGCTCTTCTGGAAACCGACATTTTCCCGACAGAGATTTGAATAGGTTTTTAAGCGAATTTTTTAAAATATCAAAGTAACCAAAATTTAGATTTAAGTTAATAAGACCCAATTCACAAATAATTCCGTTTTTTCTACTTTATAAAAACATTTATTGTGTTTAAATTTCCGTATATGTAAAACGTGGACCAATTTTCATTCGATCTTTTATTATATACATACATATATGAATGAAATAGGAAGCGAAATGCAAATATCGATCAAAACCATCATTAAAACAAAACTGAAAACAATTTGTATTTTTAATGTTTAAAGTATACATTGAATGGTTTTTCCTACAATTACGCACACACATATTTAATTATAATTACGTACACACTTTTTTAATTACAATTTTAAATTTATACTATGTATGTGCATAACGTATATATAAGTAATTTTCAATTTTTATGTCTTTTTAAAGAGAAAGTTAATTTATAGTGTTCATATGATGTTATGGTTTCAACTTGCTAAGCATATAATAATAAAAGTCTCTATAAAACTAAAATTGTATAAAAATTGCTACAGGACAAAAATAACAAGTTGAAAATGCAGAAAAATATATATATTTACTATAAATGTTAAAAATAGTGTAATACAATTAATATATTTAACAGGATAGTATGTAATTGCTAAAATCTGGTAATAATTGTTAAACAAAACTGGTAGGCAAGTACCTAATTGCATTAATTTATAATTATTTTATGGTAAATTTAAAAAATAATAAATTCAAATTTTAAAAACTAATTCTTCTAACTAATTTATTTTAAAATTTCATTACATAAATTTTTTATCTCTTGTTTATTACAGTAAAATTGATTTGAAAAAGATTTCTCAGAAACAATCAGCCCTATTAATTTTCTTCCAATTATTTTAATAAAATTTATTTCAAGATGGGGGAATTTTGTGCCCCCAACCAATTTTATTATTCTTTTAACATTATTTTGGAACGCTTTAAGTATGAAGTTGCATCGAAGTCTCAACCTCCTAACAATAGATATTGCAAATACTTCTGCTATACAGGGTCAACTAGCTCGCTAGAACCCGTTCAACAATTTACTTTTATAAAATTTTGAAATTAAAGCAATATGTATAATCAATTTAAAAATTTTTTTACTGTTTAATTTGTTTATTAATATAATTTCCATTGTTATATTTACATTTCTATTTTAAAATGCACAATCAATACTCATAACAAATTTAATGAGATTTACAAAAATGATTGTTGTAATTAACATTTTTGTTTCTAATAGTGCATAATGTTTTTTTACATTCAGGTTATTGAACTAAATTATATAAAATATTTTTAATTATTTAAACGTGTACAATCCTCTGTTATAGTTTACATACAAAATCTATCCGTATTTATAAAAAGTATGAGAACACAATATTACAATATTGATTTAGTGTAGATATATCTACAACATTGTTTATATAAAAACTGAATGAACGTAATACGATCTCTGATAATTTTTCAATAGAATCGATTTAACAATAAAAATATTTAAGTATAAACGTGTGTAGAATAAAATATCCAAATGTAAGTACATATATATATACACAAAAAATAATAGTAAGTAATTATTCAAGGATACTTTTACATTTTTGTAGGTATATATGGTCTTTGTTTAATTTTAATGTATTTTATGAAAGGAATAATCATTAAATTCAACAGAAAGTGTTGGTTTTGTTTATAAAAACATTTCATTTTTTAGAAACTTTTTTAAAATTGGTCACTTTAAAAGATGTACCAGTGATTTTAAATGGATTATGGAGTAAATAATGTGGTATTTAACAAAATATTTACACCGAATATTTAACAAAAATATGGACAATTTATAATGTTACTATAATGCAGCTCAATATATTCAAAAATAATTTGCATATCAGATTTTAATGATTACAATATTACTTACTAGATCAAATTAATGACAATTTTAATTACTTTAAATTCAACTTGTTATAAATTTTTAATAAAATTTAAAAACATTTGTTAGCACATGAGCTTCTATAACTCTATAAAATTATAAATTCAATGTAAATTTCCTAAATACTATTCCAAAATACTATTGAAACACTTCTTTAAAACTAATTTTTCCAATTTACTTAACTAGGTTGGTGAGAGATTAAGCTCAAACAATCTTTTTGTCATACTGATGTAGCAGAATGAATACAAATTTCCTTTCTCTGGGTGATCAAAGCCTTCCTAAAAAAAATCTTAAAAATACATGAAAAATGAAGCATGATGAGATACTTTTTTAAATTATGCAAGTAAAAAATCTGCTTACATATAATTATTGTTTTACAGTAGTAGATAATATTGTTATACGGTATTCTTCCACAAATAATAATTAATGAGAATCTCATTATCAAAATGTCAATAACAATACCCTTTTGTATACATTAATTATTGAAAATATGTACGCAAATATTCACTGAAAAATCACTGAATAACATTCAATATGATAGCGAATACTTGGTACATACGTAAATATTACGTTATGTATTTAAAATTTATTTTGAATATTGATTTTATTTTAATAATAATAAATAAATCTATATATATATGAAATTTATGCATAAATATTTATTATGAATATTTAATAAATTATAAATTTATGTATACATAATGTTTGTGTAATCACCACAAGTGTATGTATGAATCTATTGATAATGAACTTACTTGTTTTCTCCTGATAATATTTATCTTCGGTGTCAGTAAAAAACCATGTCTAAAAAAAAAAATAAAATAAGAATTAATAAGAATAGAATTTTTGTAAATATTTTGTAAAATTTAAAACTAAAAATTTCGTATGAAACTTAAAGTAATTTTAAATAGTGATTTTATCCTTTTTCCAAGTGAATAATAAATTTTACACGAATATGTGATTAAGTGAAATAAATAACATTTGACTGAGGCACTGCAGAGTGTAGGGCTAATAGTTACATAATAAGATAATAAATATTATTTATATTAATAGATTCAACAAGTAATTTTTTACTAAACAATTTTAATAAATTGCAAATAATCTTAAGAATTTCAATAATTTCATTAGAGGATAAAACTATTTAGGGAATTCCATTAGCGCTTTACTTTTCAATATCTTCAATTCAAAATGTAAAAGTGATAATTTTCTACGCTTTTTTACTCTAAATTACGTACGCGCCTACCATCTACGTTACCATTCATTACCCTCCAATTACACTCAGTTTCAGAATAATTTTGAATTTATTCTCAGAATTTCAGTTAAATTGCGGTCTAATTTGGTGTACACATATATATATATTATCCGCTGACACAAATAATTTTGATTTATTTATTTTATTACTCTTATTGAATATTCATATGTATTTAAATAAAATTTTATGAAAAAATTTAATTAATATTTAAATTTTTTTTTAGCTATCTAAAAATTTTTTGTGCATAATTTATTCATAAATTTAAATAAAAATTAATTAAATTAATTTAACACTAAGTATTTTAAGTGTAATTAAAATTTTTTTAAAATATAATTAAAATTTAATTTAATCTATAAGTATATAAAATCATAATTGGTTTACTTATTCAAAATTTAAATTTATTTTATAAAATTTAAGCATAATAATTCAAATAAAATATTATTAAGCAATAATAATATTTTATTTGAATTATAATTATGGAATTACTTTTAGAATAGAATTTTTGGAATTGCATCGAAAATCTTTTTATCTTAAACAAAAATGAATATTTCTGTTAAGTGGAACATTTAATTTAAAATTATTTTTTATTTACAAGGTATTGAGTTTTAATTAAATGTCGGCCTCGTTTTGATTTGTTTTAGTAAATTAACTGATTTCTAACAAATTTTGTAGCAATTTTAAAGAATTATTTTCTTTTTCAAGAATTATTTTCTTAACGAAATCTTATTCACGTTAAGAACCATAAAAGAAATAACCACATTAAGAAAAATATATACACGACCAGTTCAGTTGCTTCACAAAATTCTCAACTTTTTGACATAAAATGTGGACCAAATTTATCATATCGTGTAGTTTTTCCGAAAATTTTCAATGCAATTTATTGCATACAATAATTTGTTCTTTTATATCAAAAAAACTATCAATTTTTTTTTTTTATTTTAAAAATTTTTTGGTAAAATTATGCTCAATTACCTATTTGTGTCTTACATGCACCATAAAGGAGGAACAATTCTTGATACCTACTTACCTACGTAAATTGATGTAGAACGATGTACAAGTGTACAAAAAATATGAAGACGAGAATGATGAAAAGTCATTTATTTATCATTTTCATCATGTTATCAGATTTTACTCATATTTTTTATGCCTTGAAGGTCTTTTTTTGTAACTTGTACTTTTAATATTCATTTAGCATAAATACCGGTACCATGTTTCTGATGGAATTATTTTGGAACTAGATAATTTATGAATATTCTGTGGAAGGTACGAAAATTATTTCGACTTTTGAAATCAAAATATATATATTCAGCCGTACCTTGAATAAACCAGCTCCAAATCAACGAGATTTCTATTCCACACATTATTTTCCAAATTTTGAAATATTGACGGGAGAGTGGTATTATAATTTTAATCGAATGTAACATTATATTGCCATATTTAACTGTATGGTTTTTCATATTAAATCCTTTAAAACAGCAAAGTTTAGTAGTAAATTAAAAGACCGTTGAAGTACAGTACTTCAATGGTATAAATTTAATCAATATTTGTGAACTATAAACTTGCACCTTCTCAATATAATTCTGCATAATGCATATATGTATGCATATACATACATGAGCCCTTAAGTACAGTAAAGGAATTCGTAAACGGCTTGACTAAAAGTATAAAACTTTTATAATTATTTAATTTTCTGCACTCGTTTCATAAAGTTTTTACATTATGCACATTTGAAACTCTCTAATATTCTTTTATGTTCTATGTGCGAACGGCATAATACAACAAAAAAAACTTCATCGTCTTCTTCTTCCTCTAGAATGGAAAATTTCTACCAATTTTCTGATCTGATATTTTTTATCATTTTTAGTTCTAGTATTCAAGTGAATTTATTTCATTCTTTTTTAATATTTACCAATTACAATTGAGTTGGAAAATGTGATGGAAAAAAATTGAAAAATCCTAAGTTCTACTCCATATACGACGCTCATGTAACGAATGAATGGAAAACTTTACCGTTTCATTTTGTTGTCTCATTAGTAATCATTACCTGGCAAAGTAGAAAGAAAAAAAATATTTTTGTATGTGTTTTTGCGATTATTTATTATTTTCCTTATACCTTTATGCGAAAGGTAACTTTACAATGTAGCGGGTATTGCAATAAATGAAAATGGTAATAAAAATTGCAAATTAAAGTTAAAAAAAAAAAACATAATTTTAAATTTCAATTATTGCAGGTTCCATTTATTTTATTGTATAGTTTTCCAAAAGATTTGTTGTCAAATGAATGACAGGGGTGGGTGAAAAATTATTAGTAAAGATTGCATGCAACAATAAGGCAATGTTTATAGAACTTGTTCAACTTCTAAATTAATAATTTTCAATAGAATATCAAAATATATTTTGTAATAATCTTAAAGTCACTTTTGATTAACTAACAATAGTGTTGATTTAATAAAATGTTGAATTTAAAGCTAATTTTGGCTAAATGTCAGAATATCAATCAAATGATGAAATTTTTCAATTTTGATTTAATTCACCGACCATTATTTGTATTTGCCATAATAATCGGCATACATTTCATTCCCTTTTCAATTATACTTCACTGGCAATAGTGATGAAACATGTGTCAACCATGGGTGCAAAAGTCGTCAAGAAAACATACTTATTGATTTCACTTCATAATCTCCTTTAAGCGTACAGTGTAAATGCCTTAAGTAGTGTTGACACTTTTGTCTAAAATGACCAAACTTTATACATAAAATTTACTCGGTTTCGCACTTTTTGTTATATTTGTTATCCTACTTTCTTCATAATAAACTTCTACATCTGTTTCCTTAGATTTTTTTGTGAATATGACAGTTTGGGCCCTTTTAGTAAGTCCTCGCCAATTTGCCTTATCAAAATCGTGAAACGGAGACAATTTATTTCTTCTCTCCCAAAATAATCCATTGAACAAAATTACTCTAAATGGTGTAACAAATTCATTACTGCCTACAAAATATTTTTATTTTATTTATCATGCGAGATAGAGGGTAAGTTGTAAACTTTGTATTTATATTTGTATTTAGTTTTTAATTTTTTTATTATTACATGTGAGTTCAATAAAAAAAAATGATTAATCGAAAATTTTATTCGATTGTTTCATTTTTACATTGCTTTTCTATAATTGAGAAATTTTTTTTTGTAATAGATAAAAAAAAAGTTGTATTTTCTAGTTTAGAATTTGTGGTTGGTGGATTCTGGTACAAAAGTAATAAAAATTTAATTTACATTCACATACACTTATATAGGGGCACAGAAAATATTATACAGAAAAAATTTTATTTAGATAAAACTATATAACTTATATATTATAGGTGTTGAATAATAAAAATCTGACTGATTTGTTTATGTTATTCGAATTTAAATTTACACTGGGTGTATTAATATAATTCCATAATTTAATTATAGGTAACACAAGTTTTAATTCAATTTAACACAAGTTCAAAAATATACGACGATACTGTTTTATGTGGGAACCACGGCTAACGGAATGATTTTTTATAATGTCACGGTTGCAATAATAATATTCTTGCACTCTTAACTAATTTTGTAATTTGACTTATTGAGAATTCTGTCATATAATAATTTTTCAGATTTAAAGCGTCTAACTTGAAGCGTCAAGAGAACGTTCTATATTAATAAACAAACATTTTTATTATTACAATTTTTTGACAGATCTCAACCTGCTCGAATGAAAGAAACGAAAACTGTACAATCGGTATTAAATATTATATCTACAATCTCAGAAATTTTACTATGATATTAGGTAAAAAAAGTTGAATTGTATATTTGTAGTTGGTATTGAAATAAAATGTTGCATAGAGGAGGTAAAAATTATTAATAATAAAAGTTATTACGGTTATGATTGAAACTATTTTTATTTTATCGACCAGTACAGAGTTAAAATTTTTATTACATTTTAACTTTGTAGCAATAAAAAATTATAATTTATTTTTTCAATTTTTTATTTTCAACTTTAATTACTCTCTTAGTATAAGTAAGTGAGGCATGATTTGTTCTGGCTAACCATATTAAATGTACGTTATATACATTAACTAACATTTGTTTCCAATTTAGTAGTTAGAGTAAACTGGAATTTAACATTTTTAAAGTTATTTTTATCAATTATACACCGGTGTATAATATTGGTTAACCGGATAATTGTTTGAAAAAACAAAAACGCTCATAATTAAAGTATAAATAAAGAGATTAGTTTATGTAGATAATTGGGGTGTGTTTCACATGGCAATAAAAATAGTAAAGGTAATTGAAATTCTGCCATGTGTTTACATTGTTTTGCAATTTAATTGATATTTTTGACCTTAAAAAATTTACATTTTTTAATTTTACAATTAGTCATTTTTTTTATATACATACGTATGCCATATAATGATCTAATTGAAAAATTTTCAAATTGTATATAACCTTATAAACTTATGGCTATAATTAATTAAAATTATATGAAAGTTTTTTGAAAGTTGTTTGAAATTTGTATTGAAATGAATGTTGAATA